CAGTGATCCTCAACCCCTGCTAAGTTAAGTGAAGTTGCATTTTTAACATACCTGGGGAGGGTTTTTTTAGATCTGTGTGATTTTATTTTATTTTATCATTTATTTATTTATTTAAGAGACAGAGTCTCACTCTATTGCCCTGGGTAGAGTGCGGTGGCGTCTCAGCTCACAGGAACATCCAACCCCTGGGCTTAGGCCATTCTCGTGCCTCAGCCTCCCAAGTAGCTTGGACTACAGGTGCCCACCACAGTGCCCGACTATTTTTATTTTTGTTGCAGTTTGGCCAGGGCTGGGTTCAAACCCACCACCCTTGATATATAGGTCTGACGCCCTGCCCACTGATCCACAGACACCGCCTGATGTGTGTGATTTTAAAAATAAACCTCTAGAGATTCTGATTCAAAGGGTCTGGGATACAGTTCAGGCATCAGAAACTTCAAAGCCCCCTTGGTGATTCCAATGCACTGCTGAGACTTGAGCACCACTGTGCAGAATTCTCAACAGACTGACAGAAGTAGAAAGTCTGTCCCACGGCTCGTTACCCTTATCCTGACAGCATCGCAGGCTGAGCTCACCTGCTAGCCCCAACATCTAGAGCTCCCTTCACTCTCCTTTTGGGGCTTCTGCTGCGTGCAAATAGCATATTGGGGAGCTTACGAAAGAGGTAGGAGAAAGGTCACTTCCCTCAAAAGCGCAAGGACGTGGGAAAAAACACACACAAGTATTGTGTAATCGGAGTTTTACAGACCAGGAAACTGACAATCTAAAAGAGGAAATGACCGCCCAGTGAGTTCTTGCCAGAGCCCCGAACTGTTTCAGGGATGCCTTTCTCTCTCTGGACTCATTTTTACTCAAACCCACAATGCAGTTCCTGCTCTTCTTTTGCATGGGGCTGGCCTGGAGCCAACATCTTCACCAGCAGTGACAGCTAAGAGCGACAAGGGCCTCCTATCAAGGCTTATTCTGGGCCCAGCCTAACTATCTGAGGAGTGAATGAATGAATGAATGCAGCCAGCCCAGCACCTGCCCACAGGCTGGCTTTAAGAACCACTAGGTCAAATAACTTTAAGAATGAATCTGTTCTGGGGCTAGAAGTAGCTCATTTTTCACAGACTGGGGAATCTCTAGACCGTGCCTCACATCATAGCAACTGTGTAATCCACCTAAATTCTACTTTCTGTATAATTTATATGTAACTAGGAGCCAATTGAGTTGTAGCTGACTAATTGACCTAAAGTTATGTTGACATTTAATCCTATATTTGCCAACATGTATTTCAGATTTAATATGTTGGAGCCAATCCATTTATTTGCAGGTCATCAAACATTTTCCATAGCCTCTTAGAACATTCACTGGCCTTGTCCTACCACAGATGGTACCGCAGATGACCTCAAAATACAGGGAGGGACTTTCCTTCCTGAGGACAGGAGAGAGAAGTATGGAGGATGTGGTCAGTGTTGCTTTCAAGGACCAGAGTATCGTTTCTTTCTTTCTTTTTTTGGTAAAAACATTATTGAGATGTAATTCACATACCATACAATTCACCTATTTGAAGTACTCCATTCAGTGGTTTTTAGTATATTTATAGTCAGGCAACCATGATCCCTGTCAATTTTAAAATGTTTTCATCACTGCAAAAAGAAATTGGTGTTTTTTACCAGTCACCCCCCTTTTGGTCCTAACTCTAGACAACTACCAAATCTAAAAATTTGGCCCATTCTAGACATTTCTTGCACATGGAATCATACAGCATGTGACCTTACAACACGCTTGTTTCCCAGAGCATCATATGTTCAAGTTCATCCATGTTGTAGTACATATTGGTGCTTGCTTTCTTTTGATTGCCAAGTCATGGCGGTGTTGTGTGGATGTGCCACGTTTTATTTATCTGTTCATCATTCGATGGACATTCGGATTGTTTCTGCTTTTTGGCTATTATGAATAATAATAGAATGCTACTCTGAACATTTGTGTACACGTTTTTGTGTGTATGTGTGTTTTAATTTCTTCTGAGTATATATCTGAGAGTGTAGTGGCTGGGTCATGTGGTAAGTCTGTGTTTAACATTTTTGGGAAATGTCATACTGTTTTCCAAAGCAGCTGTACCGCTTTACCTTTTCCTCGGCAGCATAGGAAGATCCCAGTTTCTCCATATCCTCACCAACACTTGTTTTTTGCCTGTCTTTGATGATAACCACCAAATGTGTGTGAAGTGATACCTAATTATTTTTGATTTGCGTTTTCCCTGATGGCTAATGAGTTGAGTATCTTTTCATCTGCTTATTGGCCCTTGGTGTATCTTCTTTGGAGAGATGTTTATTCAGATCCCTGGCCCAATTTTTATTGAGTTGTTTGCCTTTTTATTATTGAGTTGTAAAATTTCCCTATATGTAGTCCAGACCTAAGTCCCTTATCTGATCAGTGATTTGCAAATATTTCCTCCTGTTCTGTGGGTTATTGTGTTCGTTTGCAAAGGCTGCCATAACCAAATGCCACAGACGGTTCCTTAAACAACAGAAATTAATTACTCACAGTTGTGAAGATTCTAGAGGCCTGAAATCAAGTTTGGTTTCTCCTAAGGCCTCTCTTCCTTTGCTTATAGATGACTTTCTTCTCTCTGTGTCTCCATAAGGTCTTTCTGCTGTGGGGTATATCCCTGGTGTCTCTTTTTCTTGTAAGGATCCTAGTCATTGGATTAGGGCCTCATCTTAAGGGACCCTCAGTTCAATCACCTCTTTAAAGACCTTATCTCCAAATAGGTTATACTTTGAGGTACTAGAAATGCAACCAGCACGGTTGAACTTCAACGTAAGAATTTTGAAGGGCTACCATTTGGCATGCAGGAGTTGTCTTTTCACTTTTTCCATGGTGGCCGTTGAAGCATGCACGTTTTTACTTTTGATAAAGTTCAGTTTGTCTATTTTTTCTTTCATTGCTTGTGCCTTTAGGTGTCATACCTAAGAAACCATTGCTTATTCCAGGGTCACAAAGATTTATGCTTATGTTTTCTTCTGAGCATTTTATAGATTTAGCTCTTATATTTGAGTCTGATCCATTTTGGGTTAATTTTTCATATGATAAGAGGTGGAGTCCAAGTTCATTCTTTTGCATGTCCCAGCACCATTTGTTGAAAAGACTATTTTTTCCCCCATTAAATTATCTCCACCCTCTTGTTGCAAATCAACTGGCTGTAAATGTAAGGATTTCTGTCTGGACTCTCAGTTTTATTCTATATTTATTTATTCTATATTTATTCTATGGTCTATATACCATACCACGCTGTCTTGATTACTGTAGCTTTATAGTAAGTCTTAAATTCAGGACATGTGAATCTTCCAACTTATTCTGAATATACTTTAATTTTTGATATGAAACACTGAGAAATGTAAATGAACTGCACAACATGGGAGTTTGGGAGCCCCTTCCACCAGACTTCATTTGGGGAATATAAGCTCCAGGCTCTACACATGCCTTGGAGAGATGGATTCCCACCCTCTTAGCCCAGGGCTCTTCATTGTAAATCAATGGAAACCTTCTGCAGAGAACAGTGATCCCCGTGGGTTATTTTAAACACCACTTTAAGTCTTCCCCACCTGCTCTGCTCTCTAATTGCTCCTACTGAAACAGTGACGTTCACAACTGGATTACTAATGAACTGAGAGGGAATTGGGGGGCACATGGCAAAGGGCTTTCAGAGTTCTCGAGGATAACTGGGGGCCTGGAACAAGCCCAACCCACGGGTTCTCCCTCCCCTAAAAAAAGTTACTAAGGAGGGCGGCGCCTGTGGCTCAAAGGAGTAGGGCGCTGGCCCCAAGTGCCCGAGGTGGCAGGTTCAAACCCAGCCCTGGCCAAAAACTGCAAAAAAAAAAGTTGCTAAGGAAATCTCTGTACTCAGGTGATACTGTCCACCTCAAGGGAACATTGCTGGTGGGTCAGGGACCAGAGGAGTTCTTCAACCAAAACGGCTGGGGAGCTGAATTAACTGGGTCCCATCTCCAGCCCCCAAACTTAAGCCCTGTCTTCCCCTCAACTGGAGGGCCTTAGGGTGGCTAGTGCTCTAATCTGTAGGCTGGAAAGCTCAGGAAACAAGGCTCTTTGTGAAGAAGAGAACCCTATTGTTCTCAAACCAGTGTGGATTTCAGAGAATGTTTTGGGATAGTTTTTTTTCCCTTTGTTTATTAACTTTCTCTCCTCTTCCTGGGTGGTGGTGGTTCTCAAAAGCAACATAAAGATATTAATGAAAAAATCCATTGTGGGGTGAAGAAAGAGGGGTGCACAGAGGGCAGGGGCCTGCGGCCCATGAAGAGGCTGGAGTTGGGTGGCAGAAGCCACCAGGCTTGTTTTGCTTTTTATGTTTAGCGTTAAATTTCAGGAGAGCAGCCCTTTTCTTGGTCCTGCACGTCTCAAACGGTGGCAGACGGCGGAGATTCAACCACTTCCTTCCTTTTTAGCTTTACCTCTCTTCTTTCCGGAAAGAGGAAATGATGCGAGTCTACGTCGCAGGCCACGGTGCCCCTGCTCCCCCTTGTCTTACACCTGTCACCCGGGCACCTGCTCCGACAGACCTGTCCCCAGGGCAAGGCCCGATCTGGCCCCAGGGCTTCCTGGGAAGCCTTCAGACGCCGGGCCCTTAACGTAGGAGACTTGAATTCCTGGCAGTGGCACTAATTTTGTGTGACCTTGGGCAGGTTACCGCTGTTCCCTGGCTTCACGATGCCCATCTGTCAAATGGAGCAAGAATACTGTCCCTGGCTTCCCCCTTTCCATGGTAGGGGCTGGGGGGGAAGAGCGTTAGGATAACTATTCGGAAGACTGGTCGTGTCCCACCCAGTTTCAACTCAACTTCCTGCTGCTCAAAGGGGGGGGCCCAGCCAGAGACCGCGGGGACCCTGCGGTGCTCAGGGTGGAAGCCGGCGGGGTGGAGCGCGCCCACCCCCTGCCAGGGAGCTCAGGCCCCGCCTCGGGGGAGGAGCCGAGAGGCGGCGCGGAGGCTCCGGGCCGAGCAGAGCTGGCTCTGTAGCCGCGCGAGCAGCTGCGGCTCCGGGACCCACAGACAGGGTCGGGAGCCGCCCGGGGCAGGGCTCGGGAGAGCCGGTGAGTTGCCCAACGTTGCCGGTTCTATTCCTGCTCTGCGGCTAGACAGCGCGGAGGACCTGGATGGGGAGGGGAGGTGGTCCCAGCTTAAGATAGCCTGATGGGGGCGGGGACACTTTGGCCAAGGGCCAGTGGCTTAGGATAATTGGGCTGGGGGGCGCGGGAAAGGCGGGTATCTAGAGCACCGGGTCTGCGTCTGGTGAAGCACTGGAGGTGGGCTGGGACGGGGGCGTTCTCCTAGGTCTCGCGCTCCAAGATGAAGCCAGGGTAGGGGGCGCATTGGCAGGTTGTTGGCTAGGGCCGTCGTGGCCAGATCTTGTGGCAGGGAGGCGGGGTACCTGGCCGATTCTGGACTCGTGGGCCGCGGTCACCTAACACCTTCCCGCGCCCAGTCTCCCGGTGGGGCAAGGGGGCGCCGCCCCCTCGCGTGGCGGGGCTTAGTTCCCTCAGGCAGAGGCAGCGACTTGAGGCAGGCAGCGCTCCTGCCCCGGCGGGAAATGTCCCCAGGGCAGGCACCTTCCCTTGCAGACCCGCCCCGCCGCGGATCGAGTTAGCTGTGCAGTGCCTCTGGCGCGGGGAGACTCCGCTAGTGGTAGCTCCCGGGGAGAGGTGCGCCCGGCCTCTCCCAAGGGCCGCCGTGCGCCGGCTGCGAGGTCCCCCAAGCCAGGAGCGCGCTCTCCTCGCGAGTCCCGCGCATCGACTTCGGCCAGGAGGAGCGCCACCGAGCGCCGAGGATGAGCAGAAACCTTGCAGCCCGGCCCCGAGAGGTCGCGCACAGGGGTCTCCCCAAGGTCACACGAAGCGTCCAGGCTGAGCTGCCCAGACCGCCTAGGGTGGAGAGCCGGGAGGGGGAGGCGCTCGCTGCCTGCCTCCTTCCCTGCTGCAGACTCCCTTCCTCCGCTACCCCGCCCCAGCCCGGCCTCCAGCTCCACGGAGATGCTGATGATGCAGCTCCCAGCCCCGGGCGGATAACAGCCTAGGCGAGCTTTGAATCTGGCCCTCCCGAGAGCCTAGCGCTGAGCCGCCGCCGTCAAGCGCCAGGCTTAGGACCCTGTGCTCCCGGACAGCTCGGCAGCAGAGGGAGAGAGACACGGCTGCTTCAGCGCTCCTCAGAACCGAAAGCCGAGCTGCTTGCGCGCCCATGTGATTGGATTCCACATAATGGGCCCCTGTTCTCACTGTCAGAGCGTTCACCAGCTCCTCACAGGCCTGGGCACCAGGTGCCGCCTCTGAATCACCCTCTGTGGAGAACCCAGGACCCTGAGGTACCAGGCGCCCTTCCCTCAGGGCTCTCCCTGGAAGGGGCCTGCCCTTGGCCGCCTCAGCCCGCAGGGTACTTCCCTGAGTGCCCTGCCATTTCCTGCGTCTGGTGAAGCACGGGAGAAAAACCCTCTGTCTGGGAGGGCTTCTCCTAGGCGGGTATCGCAGTTTCTAGCTGTCTGCCCCGGCACAAGACACTTGGCCTCTCAGGCCTCAGTTGCCTTTAAGAAGTGGGACTCATAACCCTCTACTGGGTTGCTGGGATGATGAGAGGTGGCTTCGTGTAGGGCTGGGTGCAGGCCCGCATGGACGAACTCTCCTAGATAAATGTTGGCCGCCTTCAATAATGCTTTTAAGTGGGGCGTGTCTCTTTTAGACAGGTGCAGGAGTGGAGCCCTGGTGGGTGGTTCTGCAGGGGCTGGGGCGTTTCCACATCTTCCTCCCTGAGCTCTGTCATACAGAGCCAGCTTGCAGGGGGCCGGTGGGGCCAGTGCATCTTTCCAGCACGTGCTGGCTCACACAAATCCCCCACCCCTCTTTCTCCCACTTGTCACTCAAATCCCATCTTCTAGGCCAAACTCCCAGGATACTGGGAGCAAGGTGTCTATGGGGCTACTCTGGACCTTCAAATCTGTAACTACCTGGCAACTGGGGTCTACCCAACAGTGCCCCCACCCCCATGCTGGAATCTTCCTGACACTAATTCTTCCCAGCCTCTGGAATGTCTTACTTTAGGAAGAGCACAGGTTCTTTCTTCCCCTCTTGTGGTCTCCTCCCACTGCAACACTCATTAGTGGCTCTAAGGGTCATGTGTCAGGGCCCAGTGCATTCTGCTGCTCTCTGGACCTCTCCTGGCCTGGAACAACATGGTAGGCAAGGCCTGATGCCTGCTCAGACTTTGTTCTCTCTGGTAAAGGATGCAGGAGTGGAGGTTAAATTCTAATCTAGCTGGTAAATCGTTTCTGAAGCCTGAGCCACAGGGTTAAGAGGATGCTGACACAGGGAGGTGGCTTTCTCTTAAAGACAGAACCCTTTCTGCAGAGCCCATTGGCCCCTTTGGAAGCTAGTCGGCAGGTCTTCTCAAGATCAGCTCCCTGTGGGGAGTGAACTTGGTCTGACCAGCAGAGGCTGCAGCCCGTCTGGTTTAGCAGATTGCAGAGGGCGGCTACCTGCAATCAGGTTCTGTGCTTGGGCTCTCAGAAACCCCCACTCACTTTGTCGCCCTCTCCCAACCAGACTCAGTTAAGCGTGTCCCAAATGGCATTCTTCCAGTAGAGAACACATCTTAGCAATTGGGCTTCAAGGAGGGATTGGACAAGCATACCTTTTACAGAAAGCTACAAATGCGAAGTGCAAGGCAGCCAGAGAGGTCTAATTTAAATTGTAGCTGCATACTTAATTACTCACTCTCTCTGAGCCTTGGTTTTTTCATTTGTAAAATGGGAATCATAGTATAATGATGGCTGCTTCATGGGGTTCTGAGGATTCTGTGAGACCATAACACATAGAAAGTGTTTGCAGGACGCGATAGCTCATGCCTGTAATCCTAGCACTCTGAGTGGATTGCTTGAGCTTAGGAGTTCAAAACCAGCCTGGGCAAGAGCAAGACCTGGTCTCTAAAAAAATAATCAGGCATTGTGGTGGGCACCTGTACTCCCAGCTACTAGGGAAGCTGAGAAAAGAGGATCGCTTGAGCCCAAGAATTTGAGGTTGCTGTGAGCACCATGGCACTCTACTGGGGCAAGAAAGTGAGACTGTCTCA